TAGAAGAGTTGAGTAATTGCAACACAGACCATATGGCCCACAAAGCCTAAAATATTTATTTNTCTATGGCTGCTTTCACATTACAATAGAAGAGTTGAGTAATTGCAACACAGACCATATGGCCCACAAAGCCTAAAATATTTATTTGGTTTTTTTAAAAAAAAAAAAAAAAAAAGCCAATCCTTGCATCAGTATTATCAATAACAGGACCTCTATCGTGTATTTTGCAGCTGGATCTTCTCACTGGGTCTGTATTTTGAAAAATTCTTGGCTATTCCTTACAAATGTGTTTGGGTGAATTTTACATTTGATTATTGATATGGTTGGTTTTAAGTCTACCAACTTTCTATTTGCTTTTTTTTATTTGTCCTAGTAGTTCTTGGTCCCTTTTTTTCTTCTTTGTCTTCTTTTGGGTTTAGTAATTGTTATTATTCTATTTTATGTTTTTTTCTTTTTTTTTTTTTTTAGTGGTTGTTTTAGGGTTTATATGATATGCCTTTAGGCTATCATAATCCACCTTTAAATAATGTTATATCATTTCAAGTACAGTATAGTATAAGAAACTTATAACAGTATGCTTTCATTTTTCTTCCCTGCCTGGTCTTTTTTACCATTATGGCCATACAATTTACTTTTAATATGTGTTTTAAACCCCAGACTACATCATTTTTACTTTTGCTTTAAATCATCAATTATGTCAACATTTTTCAATTATCAATTATTTTCGATTTTCTTTTTAGATCTAAATGTGAAAAATTGTGTTTTATATTTAACTATATATTTACCATTTCTGGGGCTCTTCATTCTTTGTGCAGATAAAATTTTTCATCTGATATATTCTTTTTGCCCCCAAAGACTTCTATTAACATTTTTTGTGCAGATCTGCTGGTATTGAATTTTTTCATCGTCTGTAAGCCTGAAAAAGTTCTAGTTTCACCTTTGAAAGAGACTTTTGCTGGGTATAGACTTCTAAGTTGACAGTACTTTTCTTTCAAAATTGAAAAAGGCTTGCTTTTTATGCTTTGTTAGGAGGGCCAGAACAAACTTTAGTCTTGGAAAATACCCTTCTGAGTACTTAATAAGATGCCCCATGTATCGCAAGGTTTTTTCACTCTAGCTGGTGGGAAGACAAACTATTTCTGGTCCTATATAAGGAGATGGTTTTGTCCCTTTCCCACAGTGCTTCCCTCACATGTACATGCTGATCAGTGTTCAGCTGAAAACTTGAGGGGCCCCTCTGCAAATCTCTCTCTAGAGCATACTCTCTTTCCTCCCCTTTCCTGCTCTGTCTAGCTCTCTCTTCTCTCGTACTGTCCAGAGTAATTCTAGTTACCTTAGCATTCCCAAATTCTCCACTCTACCTTCTGAGACCACTCCACCCTCATTGTGGTTTGGAAATGCTCTCCAGGCAGTAAGCTGGGGCAGTGATTAGGTTTGTCTGTTTCTCCTTTGGGGGCTTTATTCTACTGCATTATCTACTGCTGAATGTTTAAAAAACATTTATATGCCTTTGGTGGGTTTTTATCTGTTTGAGGTAAGAGGGTAAAACTGGTTCCAATTATTCCATTATGGTTAAAATGTTTCATTTGGGATTTGATTGGAATTGATGGGGAAAATCGACAGATTATTGAGTCTTTCAAGAACATCATATATTATTTAGGCCTTCTTTTAATTTCTCCAGTGGATTTTATGGTCTTCCACATTTATACTGTTGTTGCATTTAAAGGTCCCAGTATAGACTCCCTACCTTCTCTCTTATAGCACCTTGTTAATACCCTATAGCAAATAAGGGATCTGAAATGACCAGGGGCTTCTGCTTTGCAAAGAATCTCCTACACTGACCCACTTTGTCCTATGCCTGTAGATCAGAAGAGAACCTGTGACCTGATCTTAGAGTTGGCCTCAATCCAGCTGACTCTCATGATGGCAGGTTAGGGTTGAGCAGCTTGAGAATGGAGCCTGGGGTGTGCATGAGAAAACACTAGAATCATGCCTCATGCAACCCAAGGGAGAAACTGGCTTAGAGTTGCTCCATTTTGGCATGGTTTGCCTGAAGCTTGCTTCTACTTTTATGTATAGTTGGGCACGAATGTACTCTTGAGAAGAACCTAAGGACTGAACTTTTGGTCTACTGAACTTCTGCTATCATCTCTATCTAGTTGTGGGGTCACTCCATCTGCCTTGTTTATACACTGGGTCTCTCCTTTGATAGATGGTTCCTTATGCACAGAAAATAAATCATCTCTAATAATATTTCTAGGATAAACAGGCATTTGTGGGCTAATTATGGAAGTTGGGAATGTTTATTCTAAATATCAAGCAACAAATTTAGGAGCAAACTTGAATGTAATGCCTTCCTAAGCTAGAAACTATCTCCTCCTATGAAATCTACCTCTTGCCATAATGACAGTAATAAATTGAAGGGACCTTAACTGACTACAGCTGACACCAAATGAGTAAACACCCATCCTAAATAATGAGTTGGTTCATTATAGCTGTGCCATGTTTATAGACTTTTGATTAATCTCTTGAGCGTATATAACTCCATCACCTACATTGGCTCATAGCATCTAAGCAGGATGTTTCAGAGCACAGGCTGCTCCATTAAGTCAAAATAAATGATGTAAGAATCAAAGGGTTGGGTGGAATTTAGCTTACTATCTTCATTACACCTCTGTGTGGGCATCAACTTGTATAAAGCGTCAGAGAAATGGTGAGGCAAACAAAACAGTGACAGGGAGGAGATTTTAAAATATCTTCCTGGTATTCATATAACCTCCACCCTCATACTTAGTCAGTCAGTCGTGTGTATATAACACCCAGGGCTCTAGGATGTAGGTGCATTCAGACTTTCTGAAATGGGTTCAGTACTTCACTTGAAAACAGTTCACTCCTTGACAGCTACGTTGGCAAAAAGAAATCAATGTCGCTCTCACAAAATGCAACACACCATCCCAAGTGGGGATCACAGTTCAGGAGCAGATAACTGGTTGGTCCATATTGCTTGGGCTTATCTATAGACCCCTGGGTTACAACCCTGATGCACATTAACATCACCTGCAGAACTTTTAGCAGCACCATGCCCACCCCAGACCCAATAAATTAGCAGCTCTGGTCTGGGCCCCAGGCATTGTTCTCTAGGTCATTCTAATGTGCAATCAAGGCTGAGAACCACTGCTAGAGACTAGAGTAGTTGAAGCCATTGTGCCGATTTTCAAAGTATTCATGCAGAGTAGATTTTAATTAATCATATAAAGCAGTAATTAACTCTACAGTCCTCTCAAGATTATTGCAAAGTATGGCAAAATTGCCTGTTTCTCCAGTTTTTAGCTTTGGAGGTGACAACTCTGCGTGTGTGTGAGAGGGACACAGAGAGAGAAAATTCTGCTATTCTGCTTCCTATGTTTTTGAATCTTTTCTTTTTCTTACCTGCTGCCACATTCTTAATTCAAATCCTCATCTTCTCCCTAGTCTTCACTTCTACCCGCACTGTTTCCATTATTTCTCTCAAACCCCAGACATGTCTCTTTCTTCTTGTAACCCCCTCCAGTGGCTCTCCGCTGTGCAAACACTCAAGTGCCTTCACTTGGGCATTCAAAGCCTCTCACAGTGGGCTGAGGGTCATTACTCGAGTTAAGGGCCCCTCAATGAGCACTGCTGTCTCCAGCTTCTAAGGCCCTGCCTGGACGGCTTGCACCTCACCCATTCTGCCAGAAGTCTCCATTCAAGACTCCTCTGAATAAATCTTCTCTGCTCTTCCCACCTCCCACTCCCATCTCTGAGGTCTTCACTGTCTGTGCCAAGCAATGTCTGATTAAGCCTTATATATGTTTGGCAGACAGTGGGTGCTCAAAAAAAAAAAAAAAAAGTTTGTGAACAAATAAATTCCATTTATCACATCATCAAAATTGTAGTTTTGTTCTTCCTATTAGATTCTGAGTTTTCTCTTAAGTGGGTAACATGGTGTATGCAGTTAAAAAAAAAAAAAGCAAAGGTTTTGGAGACAAATTTAGGTTGAAAACTCTGCTCTATCACTTACTACCTACAGGATCTTGGGCAAATTGAACCATTTCCTCAGCTGCACAATGTGGGTGACAACACCTTGAAGAGTTGTGAGGATTAGATATGTGTGTAGTATCAAACACACAGACAGTGCCCATATATTTTCTCCCCTTGCCTCCAACTTATAACTTAGCAGATATGCTGCAAAGTTCGTGAATGACACCCCACAGGAAAAGTTTGTTTTTGTACTGTTTGCTTCAAAATGATCAAATGACTCAATTCTACAGAAATTAAATGTTTGTTAGAAGATTTCAGAACTCTACTCTCTCCCACCTCAGTCATCAGGGGCATATTATACCCATTATACCCACAACAGTCCTTTGAATTATTCCTGTTTTATAGCCAAGAAAGCTGGAGCAAAGACAAGACACTGGATTCTCCTTTAGGAGGTGAGCCAGGCTTTACAGAATCCTGTCTATTGACTCTAAGCTCTGGGTGCTATGCTTTATGCCATGCTATCCTCATAATCGATCTGTGAATGCATGTTTCTAAATGCAACCACTTATTTTTCTGAAACTAGAACATTCCAATAATGACAGTTGAATGGCAAAAGTTAATGTAGTTATTCAAAAAAAATGAAAATAAAGAAGTGGAGACCTTCATGCCCCACACTTTGGGACTGAATAGTGGCTGACTGACACACCAGTGAGCCCCTGGGAACCTTGTTTCCTTCATCTCTAACTTGAGAAGAATAACAGTACCTGCCTTATGGGAATACGAGGATTCAACAGTTAACACGTGAGCTTCTCACACATGTGGAGCAGGCTCTGGCACACGGCAGGGCTTGGCTTCAGCTATTAGCATCAACACAAGGGCTACTTTGCTCAGAATTCTATCAGGTTGTCCTTAAACGTGCGCTATTATAGGAAAGAAGAACATAAAGAGAACAGTCACTCTTGCATAATGGAGAACTCTAATAATAATTTTTAAAAAGGCACTTCAAAGACAAATAAAAAGTAACTTTATTGACTGCTAATCTTACCATGAAATCCTTATAAGAATAATTACAAAATAATGCAGTTTTTTTAAACACACTTTTGGTATCATCTTAACATGATGATCCTTTCACAGAAAGGATTATTTACAATTTATGCAGATATAAAGTTCATTGTTGCAAATACAAATGCAGACGTGTAGAGGCAATATATACCAAACTGGTATACTGACTAGCAATGGATATTAACAAATGCAGAATAAATATCAGGTTTATACTTTTCCTTTATTTTTTAAAACAATTTCCAAATACAAAAATGTAGATATTCAAAATGGATTTTCATATACATATATATAATTCTGCCGCAATGGATCAAAAAGCAAAAATGTCCTTAGCATGTCTCATTTTTGAAAACCCACAAGACTATTCATAAATCCAATTAGAAAGAGGGTGTGCAAAACCACTAACGATGCTGGAAAAACCCTAAAGGCCTGATTCTGTTTGAAGTAGAGAGAAAATAAAAGTATAAAGCATTATGTACTTAATTAAATTTTTTTTTTTTTTTGATGTTTAAACAAGAAACACTAAGAGCTAAGGAAATGCACCACATTTATGATCTGGGCTTTTTAGGGTCAAACTTCATCAGAATTTGTCTCTTAAGCATCTATAAGAAATGGTAGATTATTTAATGACTTACAAGTAACAGTCATTAGATGATCCTTTCATACTTTCATCCTTTTATATACAAAGTTTGAGATACTTTAATACATTCTGATATCTGAAACTTTGGTTCTTTCAAACATTTGATAAAAGCAAAATAATTTCCTGACTATAGCACTCTATAGAATTTTTTTCCTTTTAAAGTGTCAAGTTAAACCAAGTTGACCAGACTTGTGTGTACCCACTGCCCTTTCATATCCACACGGGGGAAAAATGTGAGGGGCAACGCAGGTAGAGCCTGTTCTCATTCTCCACGTGTTTATAATACTGACCCCCATCCATGGGGAACACTGTAGGTTCTGCTGTACCCTAAGACTATTTCTTTGTTACCTGAAAACTTAATTTTGTATAAAAATATGACTGTTTCTTTAGAAAATAATATAGTTTTTTTAATAAAACTTGGTAGATAGAAAAAATGGTATATCAAAATATGGTAAACAAATGTTGTAAATATATGAAATCATTAAAAACATCTCATAGAAAGACATTGTGCTAAAGTACTTTCCTGAAGTGCAAGCAACACTGTTACCGTACATCTGTAGGTGAGTAAGTTCACGTTCCTGACTTGATTTTATTATATATCCTAACAGCAGTGGCAGGAACTGTCCTAAAAATGACCTTTTCTCAAACACTAACACTTTCTATATACGTGAAAGTTAATGAAAAAGACATCCTCGGGATTGGTGGTTTTCAATCCTGTTACATACTAGCTCCATCTGGAAACTTCAAAAGAAAAGGCAATTTTCACCTGGGTCTCACCATAAGACACTGATTTAATTCATCTGAGGCGGTACCCAGACATTGTTAGTTTTTTCAAAGCTCCCCAGATAATTCCATGATGCAACCAGGGTTGAGAACTATGGCAAAAGACCCATGAGAAAATAGTCATTCTTAACTGTGTATCTATCAGCTGATTGTCTGCAGGCATCATTCATTCAGTGACACCAAACATCCTCTGCACCAAACAAGAAAGACCATGTATATAAGACAAATATGGGAGCTGTCTATCTTTCATAGATGAAAAGGTGGTAAGCTTCAGACACATATAAACACACAATCTTATGTATTTATATATGTATCACATATATGTATAGTTGGGGTATTTTGGTTAGGCAGAAACCAACATTACCATAATTTATTCTTGATTAAAAAAAAAACAAACCACCAAGTATAAACATATTCTAAGACATTTCTAGAGTTTTAACAGAAACTGGTTTTGGAAACTCCACAAAATTCATTGTGGCATGAACACAACCAATCTGTTACTTGGACAAGGGACTCGGCTGAGTCCTAGAGCTTTCTGGAAGAGCAGGAGAAGGACGTGGCACTTCACCAGCGTGAAGCAGTCACAGGCCTCACCGCACCATCTTTTGGTTATTGCTTGATTCACATCTTGTTGACCTTGGGCTGCACTTCTGTGATGACGCATCTTTGGTGTGCTGGAACCACTTGATTTACCGCTTCATTCCTGTTCACATTGGGACAGCCCCAGCGGGGTGGCAATGGCTATGACTGGGCAACTGTCTCTCTCTTAAAAAGATGAGAGCCTCTTCTCTCTCTCCTCCCTCAAACCACCAGCATTTCATGAGGGAGTGGTAGAAAAAAAAACATACAAGCAAACAAAGAAACACAACAACATCTTTCACATGATAAAAAAAAAAAGTGATGTTACACGTAATTGAACTGGAAAACAAAACAATGAACACACACACCGCAGTCTGATATCCTGAAGGTTTGGTAACCAGTAAAGCACATTTCCTTTCAAAGGATCAGTGAACTTCCGGGCACTTGTCTTGCTATACATTCTCTGTAGTCCTTTTCCTCCTGTGTAATACTTAAAGTGCAACTGTCCCACGGCTTTTATTTCCATCACAACTATTATAAAGAAAAAGATATGTCTGGGGTGAAGAAAATATGGCACAAGTAATAGGTAAAGAAAGAACCCATGGCTTTCACAGCCTCTAGCAAGCAGCAGGCTGTCCAGACAGCTGCACGCAGAGGTCCTTTAAACAACAAACTCTGGAACTTCATCGTGGGTGAGATCCAGAGAGAAGTATTTGCTGGTTCTTTTGACTGGAAAGGCATCCTGGATGTTGACACACTGCTGAGCCAAGCAGCTGCTGCAGTAGAGGCCTTCCTCGTCCAGTTCATGGCCACACCCAAAGGTGTAACTCTGAGCAGTGTCCTGACACAGTCCCGCGATGCGCAAGAAGTCCTTCTGGTACAGTCTGATGTCATCGAGGCTCAAGCTATGTCGATCGGTGGAGGTCTTTGGTTTTCGACATATAGTCTACAAGACAAGGGAAGGTTGAAACGACTTTAAGAGTACAGACCAATGTGAAAGCTCAGCACTCTGTACCTTGCACAGAGAAAAGCTGCTAAATCAAAAAACGTTAAGGAATCCTTAGCTGTTAGAGGGTGGCTTCCAATCTGTGCTTTCTGGGCCCTGAAGCCCTGTGAGGAAAAAATGCTACTACCACCAGTTATAGTAGCTAACATTTCCTGAGCCATTATTATGTGCTAGGCCCTAGGAACTCAATGATCTTACCCACCCACTCCCTAGAAGAATAACCCAAGGCTCAGAGAAGTCAATGCAACATGAATCCAACTGTCTCCAGCATCTCAGAAACCAGGCAGTTCTCCTAAAAGCAGATTGCAGAGGTAAAGGTACTGTTTCTTTGCTTTTCCATGAGGATATGGCAACTCAGCATAGCAACACTTTTGTGCTGTCTGTTATTCTTTTAATACGAGATGGGAAAACAAACCAATTATTACTCAACAAACACAATTTAAAACACTATTTTTTTAAAAAGCTAGAATTCTTGGGTAGAAAAATAACATGAAGTGTTCTTGGTGTAGAAAAGGTTGGGAGGCAGCCCCAGGATGAAGAGGTTGCTCCTAAACACTGCAAGAGGCTGTACTCTGTCAAATGGTGCACACAGCATGTTACAGACTTTCCAAACTCATTAACCCAAGAGGTGGTACTGGCTGAAAATATAGGCAGGTTAAAAAATGGTTCCAATAATTACATGAATAGAAGATCCTTAATGGGTTACTTATGGAAACGAGCCACTACAGCTCTAACCTATTTTTGCTGCTGAAACCACAAAGGCTAGCCTTGTTAAGGCTACCAGCAGAAGAGAACAGAGTTTGAGCCCAACAACATTTTACTTGGAATTGCCATATCTGAGAGTCCCCCAAAGGTGATGATCCTTGTACTGATGGTGTCTTCTGAGGATCCACCAAAACTTTCACACAGAATTCATCAGGTCATCGCCACAAAGCATCAAGGCAGGCACCCATCTCCCCATCTTATGGGTGTAGAATCGGATCCTTAGCTGTGCCCCACCAATGTTCATGTACAGTAAGAGCAAACATTGAGTGGCAGGGGTGGGGTGCAAACTGAGGCAGTTTGACCCTGGAGCTTGTACTCCTAATCATCATGAAGGAAACAAGAGATCCACAGAGCACCCAAGACAGACGGCATACAAGGAGAGAGAAAGAGAGTGCTCAGAAGTCAGAGGTGAGTATCAGTCGTAGATTCCATCCAAATCCTGCAACAGTGAGTTTCAGAGTATTTTAATTTGTCTGTATCTTCTGATAGCTTAATCGTCTAACCAGTGATTACAGGTTATCAAATACTCTAGCTTAGCACAGTTTGAAAATTCAAACTGAATGGAATAATTAACTGTGTGGAAACACTTCTGTCACAACATACCTGACAAGAAAATTACTCTCCCAGTTGTTGATACACACACACACACAGAGTTAACCTGAAACCTAAAGACCAGAGGCTTCTCACCCATATGAAGTATGAAACAAAGTACACAGTTCATCCAAATAAAAATCCCACTCCAAGAGAATTGGAATGAGCAAATAAATGGAAATAAATTCAGACTAAATGTATCTATCTACTAGGACTCATTTCCTGAAGGCTTTAAATTTCTGCTCATTTACATAATTATGAATGTAAGCCCCTATCTAAAACTGTCTATAACTTCAGCTCCTGGTTTAAGTTTTCCATCTCCTCCCTACCTGTGGAAGAGAATCGGTGCTCTGGCCACGCAGTTTGACTACCGTCTCTGAGGAGCTGGAGGTGGAAGAACCGATTTCTTTCACAATCAATCCTAAAGTAAAACACAGAAGAAAAACCAGTGAAGACCTCAAATTATGTATCCTTCTTGCCACGCATCTGACATGAACTACTGTGTGCTTATGCTCAGTCACTTCCGTCGTGTCTGACTCTCTGTGACCCTATGGACCATCACCTGCCAGGCTCCTCTGTCCATGGGGGTTCTCCAGGCAAGAATACCAGAGTGGGTTGCCATGCCCTTCTCCAGGGGATCTTCCCGACCCAGGGATTGAACCAGGTCTTCTGCAATGTAGGCAGATTCCTTACCGCTGAGCAACCCTACTACCAAGAACTAAAATGCAAATATTAGCCAGTGCTGATGAATCTCCCTGTGGCCCTTTGGTGGCAGATGACAGGCATGGATCACAACCACTCCTTGTGTTGCAGGGAGTGGTGAGATCCATGAGGAGTTAAAGCATAGCATGGAGGTTAGAAACTATTCTCTAAGACAAACTTCTGATTAAGCTGTTTAGGATGCAGTTAGAAACAAAAACAAAGGCTGAAGGTCAAAGTGGTTTCTTTACTATATCACTAAAGCTCCCCTACTCTCCATACAACACTGACTTTGAATACAACTCTGAACAGTGATGCAGCCTCTAGGCTTGGTTCTGCTGAAATGAGCAGTGGGTAAATGGATGGGAAATGAGTCCAGGCAAATAAGGACCTGTGTATCCTGGCCAGTGTCCTCTTACAAATGGGATTGAGCACAGCACCCATCCATCTGAAGACCAAACGCCCACAAAGCAAGGTCCAGGGCCTGCACATGGAACACACTCCGTTCCGGAGGTTCCTCTGGGAAGACAGGGCCACGACACAGGCCTCCTGCATCAGGTTTTACTGGCCTGACACCAAAAATGGGAGGCTACAGTGAGAAGTCAGCTCTGGACCTCTGAGATCACCAGAGCCCCTTGTCACTGAGGGCTCAGGGGGCCTGATGGTATTTTAGAAACAGAAATCCAGGGCTAAAACTTCCCTAAGGGACTGTGGCATAGGAATAAAGCATCCAGAAAAAGTGTTTAAGGAGGTAAAACTGTCAACAAGAACTGGCGATGTAAGTGAAGACCACTCATGTTTCTTACAAACAGATGGAGCAAGTGACAGTCAAGTCCCAGAGCCTTAAGGCTAAATGGCCTAAGTACATTTCTACCTGATTAAAAAAAAGAACCTTGAGTAAGTAAGATGATTTTTATTCAGCCACTGCTAGTAATCCATAGAAATGACTTTTTGTATTCTCTCTCTTTAAAAGGGTCTCATGATAATTCAGTGTCTGGCATGTATTAAGTATTTGATGATTAGTTAAATTTAAAAATGATATACATACATTCCTTGGCTTATATGTAGACAGTTTATTCTCAGATGACACTCATGTTTTTGGGGTTGGTACCAACTGCCTGAGCAGAAGATCTTTCTCTAGAAAGGTCATAATCTTTTAAAAAGCATTAAATTAAAAAAAATTATTTATTTACTTATTTATGGCTGTGCTGGGTCTTTGATATTTTGTGCAAGGTTTCTCTAATTGTGTTGAGAGGGGGCTATTGTCAAGTTGTGGTGTGTGGGCTTCTCATTGCAGTAGTTTCTCGTTGCCCAGAACAGGCTCTAGGGTGCACAGGCTTAGCTGCCCTGCGGCATGTGGGCTCTTAGTTCCCAGACCAGGGATATAACTCATGTCAATCAGCAGGTTTTTAACCCCTGGACCAACAGGAAGTCCCAGCATTAAACTTTTGAGTGAATCTTCACAGGAAGATGTGGACCAGGGTACTGGTTGGCTCTTGGTATGGTTCCTTTTGGATTTCCTTGTAAATGTGCCTGTGTGTGTGTGTTAGTCGCTCAGTCGTGTCTGACTCTTTGCAACCCCATGCACTATAGCCTGCTAGGTTCCTCTGTCCATGGAATTCTCCAGGCAAGAATACTGGAATAGGTAGCCATTTCCTTCTCCAGGGGATCTTCCCAACCCAGGGATTGAACACAGGTCTCCTGTATAAACAGGCAGATTCTTTACTGTCTGAGCCACCAGGGGAGCCCAAATATGCCCTCAGTTGCCTGTAAATCATCTGCTCTGAAACCCAGAACCAGCACTAGAAAACTCAGCATCAAGCCTGATGATCAGAACACTGAACCAGCTCCTGCCAACTTCCACAAGAATGAAGGATAGAGCAGTACACTACAGCACCACTCAATCTTAGCTCTGCGTTTTTAAAACAATGTTTAAAGGCTCAGATTATAGAGATTTTGGCAAACAAGGATGATGCAAGGAAGAAAATAAAAACATCCATAACCCCATCATCCAGCGAAAAGGCTACTAATATTTTTATCATATATGTATAAACATTTTTATAATCTGAGATCATGCTATTTAAACAATTTATACTGTTTTTCTTACCTGTGTTTCTTATATTATTAAGTATCCTCTGAAAGAAAATCTCATTATTGAATGGCTATATAATATTCCACTTTCATGAACAGAACATAACTTTACTCATTGTTAAACTTTAGTTTCTTTTTTCTTTTTTGCTATTATATTTGACATTTCAATACACATTTTTTATATATAAATCTTTTCAAAAGCCATCTTATTTGTTTAAATTTTAAAATTAAAATTACAAAATTAATTCTATAAAAATCAAACAGAAATAAAAAAACAGAAAGTAAAAGTCTGCTTGCCTCATCTCCCCTTCCCAGAGGCCCACTTTAGACAATTTTCTTTACACAAACACACACACACAGTGAGTGATGACATGCTCTCTATACAGCTATAATGTGGTATATATATTAAAACATATTTGTAAGGAAAAAATTCAACATAATAAAGTAAATGGACAAAAAGGGGCAAAGTCTGGTACAAGAACTCTGAGCACGACTACAGCAATCAGCCTCTTGGGTCTTTGTTGCTCAGGGTGATTCTCAGCAATCACGGGCAGCTCTGTTTCTGGCTAAGCTTCTGACGGCAATGGTTCTGCTAGGTTAGCAAGTGGAATTCTGCCATCAAAGGTTCCTCTTACTCTTTAGAGAACTGCCAGAATGACAAAGGCTGTGTCTGTTAACCTTTTCATCACTAATTCCCTGCCCCTGATGCATGGCAGAGGATCACAATCAGAGGTTGTGGGTCATGACAGGGCAATGCCAGGTCACTGCAGTCGAAGGAGGATCTCTCACTCAAGCAGTGCTTTCAGCGGCAAGACACGAGCACTGAAGTCATTTCGACAGTGCTGGCTCCAAAGGCATTTTCTTTAAAGAACAGAGACTAATTCATGACATGTGACAAAAGCAATTACAAGTCTGAGGTTTTTTAAAAAAAAACTACTTATTTTTAAGATGCCAACTTTCATTTGAGAGAAATATATACATATTATTATATAACTCTATAAAAGGGTTACAGTGAATACATTTAAAGATGTCATCAAATATAGAATTTAGGAATTTTTTTACGCCAACCTTTTTTAACACTTTTTCTCCAGATTCCTACACCCTATATAATATAGTGTGTGTGTGTGTGTGTGTGTGTGTGTGTGTGTGTGTGTGCATGCTCAGTTGTGTCCAACTCTTTTGTGACCCCCTTGGACTGAAGCCCGCCAGGCTCCTCTGTCCATGAGATTTTCCAGGTAAGAATAATGGAGTGGGTTGCTATTTCCTCTTCCAGGGGATCTTCCTGACCCATGGATCGGAGCCACACCTCTTATGTCTCCTGCACTGGCAGGCAGATTCTTTACCAACTGTGCCACCCGGGAAGTCCATATAATAGAGTACGGGGGAAAACAAAACAAAAGAAAACCTGAAGGCCTGACTGCTGTTTTCAGCCACACAGCATCTGTCCTCTCTAATCCATAGGTTTTCTTGTCTATGGAAAGGAGGCCAAGCCTCTTAACAGATACATCACATAACTCTGATTATCATTTAAAAAAGCAAAGAAAGAAAGATAAAACCCAATTACACAGCTTTGTCCAAAGCTCGAGGAAGAGGATGCTAATTCCACTGCTGAGTGCTTCTCCAGCTTCCCTCTCCTTTCCCCCACAGAAGGCACTCGCTCCCACCGTCTACGACACTGACGTGGAGCCCCCAACCCACCCTTCTATTTTCCTGGGCGCCTGCTTCCCAGTCCAGGACCACTCCCTGGGGAAGGAGAGGTCCTTTCTGCAGGAGCTCACCAGAGTGTCCGTTTAGCTTCCGTGACAGCAGCATGTCCTCTGTGATGTAGATGCACATGTCTGGGCTGACTTCCAAGGACTCTTCATTCATTGGCTCCAGGTCTCTGGGGTCATCAACCAACATCTCTATTTCTGAAAAAGGGAGAGACATTTAGTGACAGAAAGGAAATGGTCACCATTCATAGCCACACCTTGAGGGAGGTTATGCAATTATTTACATGTAAAAATAAATTTGCTAATGAGACTCCACAATAGGTAATTCCAGTGACAATTCTGGACAAGATCCTGCTTCTCTTTTTCTCAGGACTGTTGTGTTATCTACATGTCTGCTAACGCCATGACCTATCAATTATTCTTTCTCTTTAAGAAAAACTGTACTAGCATGCTGTGATGACAAAGGGCCAGATGAGGCTGATGGGTCATTTGGCTCATGCCAAAGCAGACTGTTGACAAAGACAGAATGAATAGTGCATGAAGCTCTCTGTCTCCCACATCTGCCATCTCTTGGAGCATTTAACAACGAGATTTGAGATGCATATGAATTCTATAGTAAGCACACATATGTTTTCCAGTTTTCCTCAATGAAGTAAGTATATATTTCCCCCAAACCTGAATACTACAGCAATTATTTGAAACAGAAAAACAATAAAAAAAAGATGCACCCAAATGCTGATACAGGCTATAGATCTCATCTCATCTCCTTAACGCAGGGTGAAGCACCCAATGCTGTGTTGCCCTCTTCTCTATTACAACATCAATCCTATGGAACCAATACTGGGGAAAGCACTGGGAGAGAAAAGCAGAGGGGCCCTGACGATGGGTCAGCAGCGTTAGCTTGGAGAGCCTGGGGGGCAGGTTACCGTCGTCCTGCGAATCCTCCTCCAGCCGGTCCTTGCCACCACTCTCCACCCCTGAGGTGTGGGAGCTGCCGTGGCTGGTCATGGAGCTGCAGGTTTTCAGCTTGCGATGGACGGCACTGCCGGGGTAGGCATCCTCGGGGCCCGCATCCCGGGCCTTGGTGTCGGCCTCAATGCCCGAGGTGTGGGAGCTGCTGTGGCTAGCGGTCGAGTGACGGGACAGGCGCTTGTGCTTCATGCTGCCAGCGCTGCTCCCACTGGCCCGTGACCGCTTCTCCAGCTGGTCCATATCGAGGTCCAGGTTGTCGCTGATGTAAGACTCCCGGTACTGCTTCTTCTCTGTGTGGTGAGGAACACAGCTCATCATTACAGTCAACCAAGGCAGGAGGAACGGCTGGTTAGCCCAGGGCAGTCATCAGGCCATGAACAAGTACAATTTCACATTCAGAAGTGAGTGACTGGAAAGTGCTGATAATTCTGATAGGAACTCTATGTAAGAAGACTGCAAAATGAATAAAACCCAGTACATTAGATCTGACGCAGGTATTTGACTACTCGAAGAGTTTTAAAGTTTCAAACACTGCAGAAGAATGCTACTCAGTGTGGATGCTAAGACCACTTCTTGTCTGAAAACTGTTATTTGTCCATAGTGGAATAAGTTTAGGAATTGAGAATAAACATTTAGAAACTTTCAGATTAGAGTGATCTGATATTGCCAGGATATCCACTAATGAGACTTTGAACTTTGCAAAAGTATCAGTGCATGGTGGATTAGAAGTTTTTAAAAATTTGGTCCTTCCCCACAGATAATTTCAGAAACTCTGCTATAGAAACGGTTTCATAAGTACACGTATGCTAACTGCCTTTCATTTGATTTGTTCATCTGTTCAGTTTGGTCCATTGTTAGCTTAGCTCTGTTGAAGACAATTTAAAATAAAACTATTTTTCTGAGAATTTCTTTAAAAAAATTCCAGAACTGAGATTTTCACGGATTAAGATTGCTTTTCTCCATTTAGGCTGAACTAATGAGACTTCAGGATCTATCGAGAAAACATAGTAATCACTCTGGTTTGATGATTTATACCCACATAGCCTCTGACTGATAAAACTGTTATTTAACAAGTTGGTGCAGATCATTACGCAGACAAAGACACAATACTGGAAAGTTCCTTTCATCAAATGCTAAACTAACCATTACATAAAGGCACAAATTTACAACTGGGCTACAGGTATACAACTGATACAAACATACTATTTTTGTGCTTGAGGTCAGAAATTTAAAACAAAGAAAAAGCCTTGTATTTTTAATACTGATGAGAAATACACATCAGAACAATGTTAAAAAGGAAGAGTGCACCTGGCGAATGTTGAATTGATACTATTTCAGAAACTGCTAACTAAACTAGACTATTTGGGTCCTCAAGGGTGGATTTGTCTTGTTTCTTGGTTAAAAATACTTGTACTCTTGATGTCTGAATCCAGCCTGAAGTATAATCACCACAGGCTTCCCCAGAGAAGAAAGGAACATCAGCAGAAAGAGAAGATATGCACTCCAGGATGCAAAATGGCAACAATGCTTGGAGATGATGGTGTGTACATTTCTGGGCTCCAGCCTATTCATGTTACTTCTACAGACTCAAGCTGAAGCAAAGAGGTGTGTGTAGCCATACTCACAGTGAGGCAGAATGGAACCAGACATCAGGGCCTAATCACACATCACTGCTACAAAAGTACATCCATCTACAGCCCATCTTTTTAGGGCTAGGCTGGGTTCTAATGAGTCCTATTTTCTAAGGCAGCAGATGAGATGAAGAGCTAAAAGGGGTTTGCAAAATTCCCATATGCTTTCTATTTGTTGTAGTTTCAACACAATAGGCACATGGCCCTTGGAAGGGTAAAAAGTTAAAGAAAAAAAAGTCTTAAGCTCTAAGAAAACTGGTAACAGTGACTCTAATAATTAAAAAAAACTTTTCTATATCTTTAAAAATAGCCCTTTTACTCCCAAATTTCTGACAGGTTTGGAGTCAACTAGTTATTCTATACTCACACACATAGTCACTAGAAAACAAGTACTTTGCCAACTTGTCTTCTATCTAATAAGAGCCTAGCCTGAATCACTTCCTGTCAACATGTCAGCACAGCCTTGGTGTTCCACGTGCTGGCTTCTATGCCTGTCACCATGCTTTTCATCTCTTAGACCTTCTGCAAACATTTAAGAAGTTTCACACCAATCAGTTACAAAATGAGGGAAATGTTGAAATAATTTTGAAATTTATTCTAAGAAATACAAAATGCAACCACTCACCCCCTAGTAATCACTGGTGTCAACAATGCAAATCATCTGTTGTAAAAGCCCACAGAACCAAAATTTTGTGTTATTTTGGACCATAATGCAAGTCAATGCACCCTCTTGACATAAAACCTAAGAATAAGCCCTAGCTATTGAGTAAAACTGAGTCGAAAAAAGATTTTAATGACAGAAAGCATTTTTTATCCATCTCTTTTAAAACAATAGGATTTTTGTGATCATTTTTACTATAAAATGCAAAAACAGTGTTTCAGACAAGGTGAAATCTAATTAAGAAAAATAAAGATTCTTTTCATGCTGTGATTTTGGCTAATGTTAATAGCCTTTTTTGTTTGTTTGTTTAAAATGTTGCAGTCTTTAAGTGTGGGTGAAATAACTGAATTCAGGCCAAGGTTAATCCAAAGGAACTTAGTTTTAGGTTTTCTTCAGATCTGGAGGAATTTCTAAGCAGAAGAAAGTAAAGATGTGGAAGAAAAAAAAAAGTCATATCTGCAAAATGTATCTACACGTACCCACATCAAAGATCCAATCTGCATCACTGTCATTCTCACTGCCCCATTCACATAAGCCCTCACATGCACTTGGTACTACACTTGATAACAGACAAAGCCCTCCTCTCTTAAGAACTCAACATTCTTTGCAATTTTTCTTTAGAACCTATAGGGGAGGTTTATTAATTCTTTCAGGGTCCAAGGGGCTCACATTACAGTCACCTAAACAAGAATTTACTAAAATGTTGTGGGCAGAGAGCTGCTGGAATAAATGAATTTCCCAAAGTTGTGAGCTGGCCATTCAGGAGTGAAGCCAACTTGGCAAATGATGGGCTCTACACCTAAGTCACCTATTTCCACAAGCTTTCCTGGTGCTTCTGCCCATTTAAATTCCTAATCTTCATGTCAGCGTCAGACAGATACAAGAATTTGTTATACTGATGAGTCATCATGGGGAAGAACTGGCAGTCTGGCAGCAGGGGAAGCCAATATACTAGACAGTGAGACTAACTCTCTCCAAAGACAAATGCAGTTTGGTGGCAGACAGTGGAAAATGATTCATGTTCTAATTGCTACTTAAATTACAATGGCATCTCCAAACTGGGCCTCATTTAAATTGAGAGGCAGCTTTTGAGAAACATCCATCAGATTGTGTTTAAACCTCTATAAGGATTTTTGTTTGTTAAGAGAGGACAGGTACTTGTCTTGTTTCTATAGGAAAAGTGAGGTCTGAGAAGTCAAAATGTGCTTCTGACATGGACCTAAGTTAATATGAATCTGAATCCTAATTCATGCAAATACCCCAAATCCAATCCAATCAAATTACCAACAATTACTATAACATGAGTTTGCAAAAAAACAAACAAACAAACAAAAAAAACACATGAGTTTGCAAAAAAATTGAAGACATTGAAAGACCAAATATGCAAAGTAGCATTTTTGGGTGTGAAACTGGAATGTGCTGTACAGCATAACCACAGGGGATAAGCACTAACCACCAGGTTAACACTGTGAAGTTGAAGTCTACTGTTAGAAGCCTCCACCTTGTCCTCCTCTCCTCACCAGACTTGCCCTTCTCATGGCTCAGAACTCTGAAGCCCCAAATGCACTGCTCTATTCTGCATCTCAGCAAACTGCCCCCACTTCCCGACAGGACAGGCTGACAAGATCCTCAATTGTAAACTTTTCTCTCCTTTGTTGGTCTTTGTTGGTCTTGCTGAGCCAGACAAGGGGCTTCCTAGTTGTCAACAAGAGGCTGGAGATATCCTGTGGCCCATCTTTACTGTCACTCTAACATAAGGAATAATCACACTGGAAGGAATTTCAGAGAGCCTGTTGATAACCGCTCCTAGGTGGACCAGTGTATAAACAAAGCTCTGAGATGCAGATAAAGGCTGGTAAGCAGATAAACCTTAGTCTGTGCTTCCACTCAGTGGCTTTCCAGGGACTTTCAAGTTGAGTACAGGGAAACTTTAAAGAGACTGTTAGCTAGGACACTTAAATAGCAGGGATAATCTCAGATATGCTGATCAGGCTGTGGATGGGCCTTCCAGGACTGCTGAGATGGAAAAAGCAATGCTGCTGGGAACCTGGAGAGGCTGGGGGTCCCCAGGTCCCACTCTTCAGGAGACTAAAGCCCCAGTTCTTGGCAGCTGTAGAGTAAGGGGCTGTGGGTGGCAAAAGTACCACCTGCTTCCCGCCCAAGATCTTGTGATACCTTCGTTTTCCTCCAGCTTCCGGATGTGGCGAAGAACGGGCTGCAGGTTCATGTAGAGGCGATGGCTGTTGCTCAGGAGCTGCAGAAGATGTCTGGAACGCATGGGGCACCCTGTGTAGTAGATGAGCTTCCTGGCAGAAGGCAAGCCATCTGGGAGAATCTCAAACTTCTTACCCTGTGGAGGGAAAGAACAAGCCAGGAGGACAAGTCTCTGATGTGTCAAGGTCCACTTTCTTTCCTGGTAAGTAAGGAAAACTGCAGACTCAGAAATAGATGCTTAAGGCTCCATCCAAAGTTCCCTGAGGAGTACATTACTGTCTTCCCTTTCAAAAACGTCACAGGATAGAGGATTACCAAAAATTCAGGAAAGTGCCAAGCCAAGGTCTTCTGGTTCCATCTGTGGTTTCTCTGGCTGGCCAAGCTATTTACGTAATGGAGAAGAGAAGGGCCCATCGTGAAAGCATTCTCAAATGTAATCCCAACACCCTAACTCAGTAAACAAGACCACAAGCTCTAGAAGAGTAATGCATTCAAATATTTGTTGAACGCTTACAAGGTGTCAAACACTTTTCTAGTTCCTGAGAAAACAGCAGTGCATGTGACCAAGTCCCTACCCTCCTGTTGCTACATTCTGGTGGGAGAGATGGTAAATAAACACATAAAATAACTACAGCTTATGATAAATTGTGGGGTGGAAATAAACAAGGAGTTACTATAGTAAACAATACAAGATACCTATTCGGGGCTTAGAAAAAATGAAAAACTCTTTAGTCAGATAAAAGAGGGAATTGGAAGCCAGATGGACAGTTGGAGGGATGAAACAGAGAGGAGAAATAAGATACACAAGTGGTACGTAAGTATCTCCCTGTCAGTGGAGGAATCTCATTCACCAGGTTTGGGAACATTAACCTGAAGTTCTAAATTGAGGGAGAGGGTGTGGCAAAGTTCTTTCCAGTTACAAAATATTATGAATTCCTTTAACTTTTTTGATAATGAATAGGATAGCAGGACTACAGAAAGGAGTCTTCCAAACACAGTGATTCTCAGCTGGAGACGACAGGTAAAGCAAAGAGGGAGGTGTATTCTAACTACACATTGAAAGTCAGCACAAAGCAATTCAGAAATGGATGGAATTTCTCACCTCTTGACTTTCCATTTTAAAAGGAGCCACCACTGGATCTCAACACTATGATAGAATGCTTATAACTTACACTTCATGAGCACTAAACATGTATTAACTTTCTCAGTCCTTACAAGTCTATGGCCAGTGAAAGTGTTTGTCACTCAGTCATGTCCAACTCTTTGCAACCCTATTGACTGTAGCCCACCAGGCTGCTCTGTCCACGGAATTCTCCAGACAAGAATAGTGAAGTGGGTAGTCATTCCCTTCTCCAGGGGATCTTCCTGACCCAGGGATAGCACCAAGGTGTCCTGCACTGTGGGCAGATTCTTTACCATCTAAGCCACCAGGGAAGCCCAAGGGGGTGGTCCATTATCCCCATTTTGTAAGGAAGAAACCAAGGCACAGAAATGTTAAGTGATATGCCCAGAGTCATACAACTAGGCAGTACTGGGCTGGCTGCAAAAAGAATCATCTGGGAAGTTTGCCAAAACAGATCCCTAGTCTCTGCCCCAGACCTGCTGAATCAAAAATCTCTAGGGTGAGGCCCAGAAATCTAAACAAGCTCCTCACATGAAGGTGATGCACAACTAGATTCAGGAACCACTTGGTGCAGGACCCTTAAAAATTCAATTTCTATAAATGTATTTTATTACTACTTAATTGGAGACATGAAGGGGGAAAGTGGGTTAATAATGTTCTCATTTACAAATAGCTCCACTCCTTTCACAAAAAGCTTGAAAGAGAAACAGCCAGTGAGGAGGAGGCAGGACAGGCTACATTTAAGGTATGAATAAAGTGAAATCAGATTGAACTGTGCCCAAGGAATTAAAGTCAGAAACAGGTCTTTTAACTCACAGGGCAGTGTGGGATCAGTGCCCAAATGTGATTTGGCAATAGAGCTCTTTATTTATATAGGCCATCTTCCTGCTGGAAAGAAGCATGTGTCTTAATCCTTATCTTCCTCCTCTCTTTGTATATTCTTCCAGTAATTTAGGAACAAAGGGAAGTTATGAATTTTAATGACCACTAGAAAGACATATAATTAACTGTAATTCTTTGAACTTTCCCCCAAAATGGATACAGCTGGCAAAAGAGTGAAACAGCTGGGAAAAAACAAGAATTTGCTCTGACAAAAGAAAAGTGTATTGTTCTCAATAATCTAAAAACAAAAGTACTTTTCCTGTTAAAAGTTGTAGCCCTTTCCTTATAATGATGATTTTCAACAGACAGATATTAATAGAAACATCTTTTTATATCACTCTTTATTCTCTATTCAAGAGAAGTTAACTTCCAAAAGAACGGGCCAACCCCCAAGCTAAGAATAGTTTACCCTCTGATTACAGCTTTCTGTTTTCGAATCCCTCTGCTGTACATATTGAAAATAATTGTTTAATGAATTTATCTTGAACTTTTCCCATCACATTTTTTCTGCAACTAGGGTAGAGTGGTGGGAACCAGACACACAAATTAAAATTGGTGATTTCTTTTGCTGTAAGACTCTGTGATTTTAGGTTCACTACTGAAAAGTGGCAAGGATTATAATTACAGCATATGTGTAAGAATCTAAGAAAGCTAACTATTTTCATCTTCAATTCTGAGAAAACATCAAGTTTTGTGCCTGAAACAATATTTTGTTTAAAAAATGAAAGTCCACAAAAACAAACAGATGAGTATTTCAGTCAGTTATTTTAAACTTACCACAAACACCAACTTTCCAACATTGGTCCAAGGGAAATCATAAAGTAATTGTTTCTCTTCGTCTAAATTCTGTAGAAAGAATGATGAGTTACTTATAACTCATATAAGTTATGCACATAGAGTTACCGAGGAAACTGACAGATACTCTAAAATAGCTCTAACTTCTTTCCCAGAAAACTAAAATACAGTAATTAAAATCTGAAAGAGGTCCCCAACTCTCTTTAGAGACATGCAGACAGTAATTAAAAGAGAAATGATACAATTCTGCCACTTTGGGTTTCTCAGTGACTATGTTGCCTTTCAAGGTAATCTTTTCCCTTCTGGCCCATCTCTAAATTTAAATAAAAAGTCCAGAAGACCCAGGCATTCAAGAGATGAGATAAGGCACTCAGACTTTCATAACTGGATATTTTGCCTACACCAAAGATAAGGCATCCTTATGTTCTCCCAGGTCTCACTGACCTCCTCTTTCCCCTGTTGATGGCAGGATGATAACACCATCCCACCTGCAGAAGGATGACAGGAACTACTTACTCAACAGATGAGTTTTATCGGAAAATTGTAACGGAAATTAAAACGTCTGGGTCAGATACTTTGTCACAAAGTCATTTTTCTTTCCATAGTTACAGATGGACCAGATGATAAAAAAAAGAATGCTAAAAATTAATGACACACAAAGAAAAATGTCTGGATATTCATGATCTATGAGTGATAAATGTGGGCCAATCTTTGGTTTGTTGTTTTCTGTTCTAGAGGATTTATCTGATGACAAGGATCAGACTGTTTCCCTTTGTCTATCTCACATTATCCACATCTGTGCTGGACAAATAAGTAGTAACCAATCAATGGCTGGAAATAGGACCAGTGAGCACAGCACAGGACCAGGCAGGCACATTGTCAGAGTCAAGACACGGTGGACACCATTTGACACCTATTCCCCATTAACTAACCTGAAAAATCTGTATTCCCCGCATGGTCAATCCAAGGGTCAGAGAAGCTTCAATTTCCCTTTTATCCTATAGGAATAAAATTATGTGAAAAAGTGTATCTTTCTTCTGTAAGAAACAATTCAGCACCAAAGAATGAAAGATACATTTCAGAATTTGAAAGCTTTTTACTTAAAATAGCTTTGCCTTTCTGTATCCCTTTCTTCCTCTAAGATACAAGAAAATCATGGGTACATATTAAATTGATAATGGTATTTTCTATTTTTTTAAATCTTTGAGATTTCAGAGTTTTAATGTTTTTTACTGTATTACAAACGTTTTCATATCTGACAATATTCTAAATTCGTGTGTTACTGAGAACTCTGGTAAGACTATTTGCTACTTTTACATCAATTTTTTTTTTAACCTTCTATGCTACATTAAGTCACTTCAGTAGTATCTGACTCTTTGTGACCCTACGGACTGTAGCCCAGGATTCTCCAGGCAAGAACACCATAGTGGGTTGCCATGCCCTTCTCCAGGGGATTTTCCCTACCCAGGGAACCAACCAGTGTCTCTTACATCTCCTGCATTGGCAGGTGGGTTCTCTACCACTAACGCTGCCTGAGAAGCTCCTTTTAACCTTCTATCTAATGCCTTTTCTCAGATGTTAGAATCTTGAATATAATGTCATAGTTATATTCTGAGGTGCAGTAGATTTTGTGTATTTAAAACTGGTTAAATCTCCCAACTCTGAAACAAAAGTCAGAGGCAAGCCTGAATAGTTAACGGGCTTCCCCACTTGACAGCATGCAAAAAAGCAGAGACATTACTTTGCCAACAAAGGTCTATCTAGTCAAAGCTATGGTTTTTCCAGTAGTCATGTATGGATGTGAGAGTTGGACTATAAAGAAAGCTGAGTACTGAAGAATTGACGCTTTAGAACTGTGGTGTTGGAGAAGACTCTTGAGAGTCCCTTGGACTGCAAGGAGATCCAACCAGTCCATCCTAAAGGAAACCAGTCCTGAATATTCATTGGAAGGACTGATGCTGAAACTGAAACTCCAATACTTTGACCACCTGATGCAAAGAGAACTGACTCACTGGAAAAGACTCTAATGCTGGGAAAGATTGAAGGCAGGAGGAGAAGGAGATGACAGAGGATGAGATGGTTGGATGGCATCAGCGACTCAGTGGACATGAGTTTGAGTAAGCTCCAGGAGTTGGTGATGGACAGGGAAGCCTGGAGTGTTGCAGTCCATGGGGTCGCAGAGTTGGACACGACTGAGTGACTAAACTGAACTGTATAGTTAACATTCTCTCATGAAGATAGTTTAGAGCTATAAAGCTTTACATTATGTTAGTTTGGAAAAAGCACTTATTTTTAAGAAGTTCAATTATCACCTGCCAATATGATATACATTCAACCAGCTAAACTATAAACTGAAAAAATATATATATACACCACAACAAATATAAGGGAAAACTACTGTGCTTAGCCACATCTTTTAAGCACTCATCTGTAACAAGTGGTTGTAAGATGTAAAGTTCAAAATAGAAAATAAAATTGCTAAGTCACTATTTTCAGTATGAGATTTCTCAATAAAAAAAATAAATGAGTATGTACAGCTCTTTATTATGTTCAGTGCCAGTTTTTGCATAATCATGGAAAGAAGTATTTTTAGAAAATGTATCCTCAGCTGGCATAGTAAAGAGAAGATAGAGCCTATATTTACTACTGGGGCTGTTTTTTCACCCCACTAATATCCTTTACATCAAGAAAGGCACATACAGTATAGGTTTAACAGGAGAAACCAATTCGTCACTATGAATTTAGGCCAATATCCCTTTAAAGGCTGTTCTGACTGTTTCCAGAAATAAGACTGTGTTCATAAAAATGCTGGTTGTATGTGTATGAGGTATGTATCACTGGGCAAGAAGTACAGAGGTTTGTTGTTGTTGTTTTAAATTTCCTGTCTCCTGTCTCCATTTTATAAACAGGTCTTAAGTGAAGCACTTTTAATGGCAGTCACTTAATTTCTTTAAAGAATGAAAATTCTCTCCATAAGGAAAAAAATATCTATTTCTCCACCTCAATCAGTTCATTAGCATTATCTTGTTTTAAGGAGGCCAGCGTGATTTTTATGCCATGTAAACGTAGCACACTTTGAGCAAATTGAAAAATTAAATTTTACATAAAAGATAAATCAGAGATATCTACTTTATCTACTGAAGAATTCCTAATATGATTCTTTAAAATACCAAAGCTTCCCTAGCAAATAGAAAGCAACCAATATTTACTGAGCACTTACTAACGTGCCAGGCACGCCATCTGGCCATTTCAGATTCATCATTTTGTTGAATCCTTCCTGACCTGTGACATGTATAGAATCATTCCCACTGAACAGATGCCCAGGACTGCAGTGACAGTCCCCCAGGATTCCAGCAAGTCAGTGCTGGTGGAGGGTTTCTAACTGATGATCTGATTCTAAAGCCATACTCTCTCCAATGTATCATTCATACTTCTAATACATTTTAAAATATAAACTTATTGTCAAACATGTCATTAATTTTCACTTTCTCTTATAAGTTGAGGTGTCACAATGAACTCTCTTAAAAGAAAAGCAAGAACTCAGTCTTTTAGGAATTTAACTGAAGAGGTCTTTGGAAGTCTTTGCCTTTCAAAGATGACAGGGCATTAACAAAGCATCTCTTGGGCATGAAAGGGGAAAAAATAACATCCTTTGCTCTCTTTTTAAGTTTTTTGAACCAGCCAAGAAAATTATCCAGCAATATATCCAATTTATGGTCCAGTCTCTAATGGCCTAATTATGCTTATCTTACCACACGGGCATAGCAGAGATAGCAAACCTAATAATAACAAAGATAATGGTAACAGAAACACATTTAACATCATACTTAATGAGTGCTGGGCACTGTTTTAAGCACTTTTCACCCACTAATTCCTTTAGTCTTTAATAAACCTCAGAATTTATTGGGTTTGTTACCATCTCCATTTATCCATTGGGAAGCCAAAGCACAGTAACATGCCTAAGGTTACACAGTAAAGGCTGAAGCTGGGATTTAATCCCAGCAAGCTGGATACAACAGACCACACTCTGAACCACCTCATCCTATTTGGCTGGAGAATAAATATGCCTTTGAATACTCAGGTGGGAATTGAAGGGTTCTTACCATGGAAGTGATACTTGTGGAATAGGGAGAGGAGAGGAGGAGAGGGAGAGAAGACAGAATGTGGTGAATAGTTTTGCCAGTGATTCCCTGTAAGGCCCGCCCCAGTTATTAATTGAATGTGTGACCTCTGGCTCAGAATGGAAAAATGAGGCTAGAGACACAAGAACACAGAACACAAGGACACAGGACAAAAGAAGGAACAAACTTCAGAGTGAGAGAAGCAAGAAAGTCAGTGATTCAGGCACAAAGGTTCTTGCAAGCAGACATGGGTTGACTCCTGTCTTTTACTAGTTTTGTGATCTTTGGTATGTATTCCTGTTTGTAAAATGAAGATTACAGTCCTATCTTATAGAGTTACAAGTATTTTTTTAAAAAGGATAGATATGAAGTGTTCCCATAAATAGAAAACTCAATAAACATTAGCTGCTGTGGTGGTGCTCTTATTACTAATGGATACAATGCAGGTGTGGCTTCACTTATTAAACAATTATTGATCAAAGAAGTAGCAAATGTTACTCCCCAAGGCAGAAATGCAGATTTTGGGAAGGAGAAGAATAACTATTTCATAATCACTGAAAAGCCAAAAGCACAATTTACAGCCACTTGTCATCTCAATATCAGAACCATGAAAAAGACTCACTCCTGCTCCCAGGCCCAAAGAAAAACATCACTGACTCCAAGACTGACTTATGATGACAAACAGTAGTTCAAATAAAAACTCTTTTAAAAACGACCAAAACTTAAAAAAAAACTTCTCCTAATCAAGAAGATACAGCTGCAGACTTACTGCAGCTTTGTACCTTATACAATCTGTAGTAGTGAACAGCGACGTCATCCAGTCGGACAGCCTCTTTGATATATTTAAGATGAGCCTCAGAAGCTGTCAGTGCAAACTGATCTTTGTGCATGTTTGGAATGTGCTTCAGGATGTAGTCCTTCCCTCTCTTGGAAACAACCTGTTGGGATACAACGGGAGCGCAATGCAACATTTGTTGGAAGGATTCAAGTATAACACGACCCTCACCCCGCAAATGATGAAAGGCCGAGAACTGAAAATAGGCCATTGAAACTGGCTGATTTCCACCAGGAAATTCTCACGCTGATTCTCTTTTGATCATCTGTGATGTTACTAGGCTGAACAAACTAATACTAGAAGGTACAGAGTCAGTTTAGCTGTAGTACTTCATATCTAAGAAGAAAAATCACAAGAAATGGGAAAAATATGTTCTCTTGGCTTTAAAATCACTAACAAAGAAAAACCATGCAAACTTGCACAATTTTGTCCACATCATTGTTTATACTTGCAGAATTATTGGTACCATGAAATACAGCTACTGTTAGCACATCTTCAGGTTCTGGATCCTACTTAACTCTTCTAAAATTACAGCCACAGAGTGGGAGGCTCTTAATGTTAATCCAAAGAAGGCAGAGGACTGCAAGGAATTCTTAGAAACATTTCTGGTTTCTGTATAAGAGGCTGATATACACACTCTACTCAAATGCTTAGGAGAAAACAATTTCACTCAAATATTCATTACAATTTACTGCGACTTCAGTTTTCATCAGACAGCAGTCTAAGCTTTCAGATTTAAAAAACATATAGTGTCCAGTAGCTACAGGGTCAAATAAAAGGTTAAGTAAGTTAAAAAAATAAGTTAAAAGTCTTAGCTGACTTCATGAAGATTATAAAAGATGGAAAGAAGTATGCAAAGTGAACAGAAAGCATTTTTAGTGATCAGAATTTAAAAATTAGAGAATTTTTAGTTTTATCAGTTTTTATTGTCATTTTTTTCTTCCTATGAATATTTTAAGGAGAATTAAACATGATGAATTACTGGCCAATAATCAAGTTTTGCTGATAACTCATTATAGATTTTTTCCTTCTAGATTCCTTTTACATGGAGATCATTTAAATCAGTACTTATCAACCTTTTTCAGGTCAAAGAACCCCTAGAAAATAGTATTTGAAAGGGTAGTGAAGTATATATAATAGGTGGTTCTGGTGATCACAAGGGTCAAGGAAGCTGGTCTCTCAGTACCCTGGGCGCCATGGCACATTTATCGGGAAGCTCTGCTTTAAAGACCAATAGTCCATGAGAACCTGATGATAACTAGAGAATGGAAATACAGGCTACTTTTGGTCCCACAGGCACTGTTATGTAATAGCTTGACACCCTCTGCGGTTTTTCTTCAATAACTGAAGCACAGTCAGCCCATGAACAAAAGCTTGTCTTGAGCACCATGATGTGAAATGCTGAAGAAACAGAAAAGTTTAAGTTTACACCTGTTCTTTAGGATATCTTAAGAAACACTCAGATTACTGGGTGCAAGAGATAAGCAGAACATTCGAAAATAAAATACTTTTGTTCAGGGTCTTATTGAGCCCAGAGAAAGGGACCTGGGCACCTAGACAGTCTGTCCAGAGAACACACCTGGGCAGGAGTAGCCAGGTAAAACAGGGAGGGTGCCTCACCAGCTAAAGAAGCTGTAGGCTGAAAGGTGAAACTACAGGAGGTGTGGAGACACAGTAATGCTGGGTGTTGTCGGAGCACAACACAGGAGGTGCAGGACAACCAGAGAGGAAGGTGCAAAATCTGGCAGGGACCATGAGCTGGGAAGCTCCTAGCTCATGTTTGGTAGTCAGGCCTTCACTCTGCAGGTGAAGGTTTAAATCAGAAGCAAAATCGACTTCTCTGCAAGCTGTGAAGTAAAGCCTAGATCAGGAACAAGTGTCCACTGGTGAGTGCTGATGAGAGCCGGCACCTGGGGAATGGGAGGAATCATGACCTGGGTGGGGTGGGGATGTGGTAATGTTTAGGAAGTTAACAGCAACAAAAAAAAGAGAATTTTATTCCCTAAGCTGGGTGATGGGGAATCAAGGGTGTATATTAGAGGATGTTCTCATGACTGGATGGGGCAAGGTAAAAGAAGAGTGTTAAGGAAGAGCCTGAATGACTCAAGTTTCTAGGTGACCAGGGCCACTGGCTGAGCTTAAGAACACAGAGGTAGGAACACACAGAACTGAGGTGGGAAGCAGATGAATTTGATCTGGGGCACTGTGAGTTTGAGGTGCCTATGGGTAAACATCTGTCTTACAGACATAAGGGAGGGAAACAGATTTGGAGGTGCCAGCACATAAGTGGTTGTAAAAAGCATCAATTTGGAGGCGATCTCCTGGGATAGGAGTGACTAAGTGTCAATCACAGCAGTGAAACCCAGGAAAAGACGTGAAAAGTGTCCACTGGATTTGGCAACTTAAAGGTCACTGGTGGCCTTAAGGACAGCGCCATGAGTGGAGGGGCTGGTGAGGGAAGAAGGCAGACAGATGTTGGTTGAGGAGTACACATCAAAATAAAGACGCTAAAGCATCAAATTTACATCACTTTCTCAAGAAGCTTTACTGAGAAGGGAAGGAGAGATGGGTAGCTCTTCTTTCCCTCCCTCCTTCCTCCCCTGAAGACAGGGAGGTGTGAACCAAAGTATGCTCTAACTTAAGAGGAGTCAGTTCAGGTAGAGGCTGAAGATATAGAAGAGAGAGATGCCTCAGCAGAGACCTGGAGGAAGAATGGGAAGTGAAGTCAGCAGAGTACGGTGTAGGAAGGAAGGCTGAGATAGTCAGTGCTCAAATAACCTACATTTTCTTGCTGAAGGAAGGAGGTGGCTCCTCTTTTGATAGTGAAGGAGATGGTGGTCAGCACAAGCAGTTCACTTATATTTGTTTTCTCAGCACAGGAAAAGTTGTGAATGATGTCACTTTTTAAAGAATAGTGTTTTGCTCCTCCTGAGAGGGAAAAATGCTGCTCGAATTAAGAGTAAATAAGAAAGTCAAGGCTGAGTAAATCTCAAAAGAAGGCTGACAAATTCCCAGTTCCAGCATCTTTAGGATGGACAGTCATCCTCTTCCTCATTACCTAGGTACAGGTCGAGTCTGTGGAGAGACTGTGTGTGCCACGCTCTCGCGTGTGAAATGTGTGCCCGGGTGTCATGGAGGGTGTGTGGGCCATCAAACACCTGGCTTTCCAGTTCTTGAAGCTGCATGAGTAGCTTGACTATTTCTGGTCGCTACTGGTCTCTTTGTCATCGTCATTCCGCCTCACAATGTGTCTAACATAGAGGGTAGACATTTTAGGGGTTGATATGTCTCTATCGAACTAGAACAATGAACTAGAAATGTGCTAGAGAAAATGCTTTAGATCTGAAAACAGTGCCTACCCAAGATGGGAAGTAAGCCTCAGGCTCGAAGTATTTTCCATAGTGCTTATTCCTTTTGAAGTTCCCAAGATCAGCCTGCAGTGCAAAGGCTGCCAGCAGGAAGTAGGCCTCCTCTCGGAGCACACACTGCGAATGAAGAACTTGTTTTCTCAGGTGCCAGTAATAATAGTATCTTGCTGCTCTGTCACTAGGAAAATAAAAGAAAGCAGACTCACATTTTGATGGAACAATCTAAACGCATGTAAACAGAGCCCAAACCCTGCTGTCCATCTGAGGACAGGAGCTCTTCTGTTCTGCTCCCTCCTCCCCCACAATCAGCAATACCTGACTGCTGCCTAATGGCTGCTTCACTCAGGTCTCAGGGAGACAGGACCCCAAGTCAGACTACCCAGACTGCAAAAGCAACATTTCCTGAGGCCCAGGCATTCGATTCATTCAGAAGATGGAAAAAAGATCTGAATCATCCCACTCCAATGTGGTAAATAAATACTACATTGAACACATATTAGAAGAGAAGCCTAGGCACTCGTTGTCTGTATTAAAATAACTTTGCTATTAAAATAACTTTGCTACCATGATGCTGCACACACAACATAAATAAGGACAAATCTGGGGACAATCCTGGTTTTAATGTCATGCGTCCTTTTTTGTTTTTCATCTGAGCAAATTACAAATACATTATGCCCTTTAAAAAAAAATCTCTATTTATATTCTCTACTAGAAAAAATTTGCTTGAGTATAGTTTTTTTCCCTCTAAAAATGAATGAACTGAAAATTCTCTTAAAATCCTTTAAAATAAAAAAATTAAGCCAGATGTTACTTGATGGGTGTGCTTTTATAGGTACATGCCACAAAATCATGATAGTCCTCACAAACGGAAATAGTAATAGTGCACTCATTACAATCTGTTGAGGTCAGAAATAAATATAGTTCCCATTAAATACACTAAAGAGTGCTGACTGGGTAAAAACAGTCAAGCTCCAAAAAATGTCACAGGCAAACAGGACGCCTCTGTGATCAAAGTAAAAAGGCAAGGGGAAAAAATATGTGTGTGTTTGTGTTATATATTTAATGAGTATTTGCCTCCCTATTATTTTAGGTTGAATGTTTACCTGAGAGTCATAGCTCATTAGTTGATGATAATAAAAACATACGGGTTTATTTTAACCAAGATCATGTTTAAGAATGAAGAATTTAAAAATAAAGCATTTATGTAATCTTTTCCCCTTGGGACAGAGTACTTTCAGAGCACTGTGTATAATGCTGAGTACACAGCATTTGGACTAGCTCATCACTGGAGAAAAGGGCAGAAGTATAGGGTTAATGAAACATTCATTAGTCCCAGGGGGCTAATTAGTGGCTCAATACTATATTTTTCTTCTTTCCAGCACATTCCATTCCAATTATGTACACTGAATCAAGATTTTATACAAACTGAGAATAACTAAAAAGGTTTCTCTGCCTTTAAAAACATCCTATATGGGCTCATATTTTTTACTTTTTAATTTGCTTGTGGCAATAATATAAATATTAAGAGCAAATCTCAGATACAACTCATTAGTTAAATGTATCTTTGTCCCTATTAACATGGGGTTTCTCAAACTTTAAAAATAAGTAACTGAAACACAGAGTTCACATTTCTAGTAATTTCTATCAGGTGACAAAATCACCTCTGAAAGTCTTCCAGCCTGAATCCTCCTATACAAATGTTAATCTGAGCTTCTGAACTGGTGACTTCTGGGTCTGTATCATGTGCAGAGTAGTATTCAGGCACCCACCTCCAGAAAAGGAATCAGTTACCTGCCCTTGCCAAACTGCATCTAAGATTCTCACAGGATAGCTCCATTGGGTGTAATCTTAGCTTTAGAGATACTGCCAAGCACAGAAGCAAGAACCCAAAGGTGAAAAGAAAACCAGGCGATATAAACACCCATGCGTTTTTATAGGACAGAGTTCTTGCTGTCCCTTTTCTCACCCCACCACCAGAAAAGAATACAATGCATTAACCAACCTCTCCTCTTTTCACAAAAGTGCTAGTTCTTCCTTAAAGGAAGTACCTTTTCAGGGACTGATTTGTTACGGAAAATGTGGAGTAGAGAAAATGTGAGCTGGTGATACTGTTAACAATTTCACTGATAGTCTAACATTACCACTCGTTCATTCAACAAGTATGTATTGAGTGTCTACTGTTACCTCTGTTTTAGGGACTGAAGATACATGTGTGTGCAAAAATTTTTTTTTTTTTTTTAAACCCCTGTTCTTGGGATTTCCCTGATGGTCCAGTGGTTAAGACTCTGTACTCCCAATGCAGGGGGTCCAGGTTTGATCCCTAGTCAGGGAACTAAGATCCCACAAGCTGAAATTCAGAGCTTGCGTGCTGCAACTAAGACCCTGCGCAGCCAAGTAAATTAATTAAAAAAGAAAATCTCTCTGCTCTTTTATATTCTAGCAGGTGGAGAAAAACAATAAACACAAGAACTTTATTTGATACATTAGAAGATGAGTACTGTGGAAAATGAAAGGTTTGGAATTTCTCCTTGTTCTCATACCTGATCAATCGACCATTTTCCACATAATACTGCACACGGAAGTGGATGATCATAGGAGGTCCAAACTGATCAATTCCCTAAACAAAGACACACGTAAAAATCAGGCTGTTTTTAGTTACTTCAAAAGTGGGCTTCAAAAGCAACAAATATCATTTTCAAGACACTTTTTAAACATTGAAAGGTTTGATCTACTTCAAATGAGTAGGGGCTTCCAGTAGGTATGCAGTTGTCCATGCAGAAATAGGAAGTTATAAAGCATCATCACTATCTGATACTCATTCACTGTAATGCCAGTGACAACATAAGGGAAGATAAAAATAAATGCCAGTGGAAAGTTCTAGCTGAAATCCAGCTCCTTTCCCAGCTCTGTCCCCTGTGGTGACCATTTGCTCCTCATTACAATGTTCTCCTGTTCCTCTGACATTCCACATACCAAATTCTAACACACTGTTTGTTTATTTAGACATTCATGTTCCTTACTTTGTAGTTGGCTTTGAAGTAGCCTTCAGTTTATTCCAAGAATTCTTAAATACAAATTGGTGGATCAAGGATTACACACTGGGGATAATTACTGTTTTGTGAGGGTAATCTTGAGAACACTAGGTAAATTCCCAGTGAATGTTCTCCTATGCAAATACAAGGCACGGGTTCAATAAAGTAATAAAATATCAATGTAAAGATAGTAAAAGCAGATTTTAAAATGACTAATAATTTCTAGACAGTCAGTTTTGATGACTAATGTGGCCAAAGAAGAGGAACAAATACTTTTCCCATGATTTTCATTTCAAAACATTATCCCAAGGTTATGGAAAAGTTATTGTCCAATATTATTTTAGCAGATGTTCAAAATCTTTTGCTACATGCTATAAGCTATTAATCCTTCACTAATGTGATATTTTAGAACTTATAATTCATATCCCTTCTTTACTATATAAAGTGTTAAGATGTTTTCCTAATGTTAAGAGCTAAAATAAACCTTTTCTAAAATCAAAATAATTTTGCTGATAAATGTAATCTCACCCAAGTGACTTCGTATTGTCGTACCTTGCTGGCTTCTTTCTTCCATTCTTTTGGACAATACTTATAAAGCTTTTGTGACAACTCCATATATACGTGTTCATTATCTGCACATTAAAAAAAAAAGGAGACCAGATGATAAAGGATAGATTTTTTTTTAAAAGAAAAGAATATACAAAGAAATGGGTTTTTTAAAAAAAAAAGCCTCAAGCTTTCTGAATGTACTATGAACACACATATCACCAAGAAAACTCAAAACATAAAAAGATATAAGGTTCTATGGGATAGCTATTAATGACATTATTATTTTGCTTTTGCAGTAAAGAACATGTATCATTGAAAATGTTAACATTTAGAAGAAATGTTAGATTCCTATTCTTGCTTTTACTTAGTTTCTATGGTCATTATAACTTATAGTTTAACTTCCAACACTGTGGGTGTTACTCGTCTTAGAAAAACATGCTTTTGTTTGGTTCACAGAGGATTCATCTCATAAGTGCAAAGTAATAAAAAAGGGCAGAAACAGCATCTTAATTGCTATGTAAGAAACTAAAAAAAACCTGATGATAAGTGATTTGTCTCCAAGTGAGGAGCTTGACCCATGTGTTTTGTGAAGAGACGTCTCTAATACTATTCCTTCTCTGTGTTATCCACATAAAACACAGAATGACAAAACGATAAAGCATTACTTGCACTGCTTTTGGGGTTGATCTTGTGGGAAGAAGAAAATAATCTTATGCAAAACAAGAATGGATGCCAAAATACTTCTTCAAAATATTAATGATGTTCTTAAGATGAGCAGAAAATAAGACTGCTGAGTAACCCATGTAAAAATGATCTAAACATGTGAAAACTACCTAGTAAAAAGTGCAAAATTTTGTATATTTCCCAAATGGACTCTTATGAAAAATATTCCTATCTTGTACAAAGTTTTCAACTTTTTTTTTGTTGTTGTTTTTAAACTCCTTCCTTTTTCTCTAACCATCACCCTGGGGTCATGCTCATGGAAAGTCCTGCATAAAAACATACTTGTTGTGGAAGAAAAGTGTGTCTCTTTGACTATTCCAAGGATAACACATGCCCACACTATCACTCATGACTGAATATTGGAATTTGACAGAACAAGTCAAACGTTTGACTAGAATAGGAAGGGTAAAGCCACCCTTTGTCAATGAATGTCATAATAAGTCAACCAGTGTGGATGAAAGGGGTAAAGAAGAAGTCCAAGAGACAAGAAGATGCTACTAAAATCCATTTATCACATGAACTAAAACCATCTCCCATTTCTACTATGTTACCAATTAAACATGAAATGGACAAGATCAGACAACCTTCCTGTTTAAACTGATTTGTTTTTGGCTTGTGTGACTGTCTGAAGAAGCAACATAATGAATAGAACTGAGATTGCTTGCCATAATGGCACATACATAGTTTTTTAAACTACCAATGTGTTTCTACCATCCGGCAGTTTGACCAGAGCTGAATACTTTCTCAAGCACATATCAATCCTGCAAAGCAGGTGAAGCAGTGATTTCCATTTGACATGAGAGAAAACTGAAATGGAGAGAAGGCAAGGGACATGTCTAAAGCCACATAGCTAGCTAGTGGTAGAACCTGAATCAGAACCAGGTCATCTGATGCCTGTTTCAAAGTTCTTGCACCATCCTGTAATCTCTCTTCTAAAAAACACATCTCAAAAACTCTTATTTGGAAACCAAGGAAACTGATTTTATGAGATTGACTTGCTGAAGAGCAAAGATCAACAGTCCGTCTGTAGCTGAAGTAAGAAGAATTAACTCTGTGGGGCATCTTACTTCCCCCAGGCTCTTCCTTGAAAGAATGACTGAGGTGTATACCAATATAAAGATGGAGCTGAGCATTTGTGTTTTTGCTGCTTCCACTATCACAGGAAGAAACTAAAGAGCAAATAGTTGGTTCCTTTCTTCTTGATGTGTTCCCTGCTCCACGGTCTCTGCCTCTTAGAGCTGTCTTTTTAGATAAATGAAAACAGCTCACATTTTGGAGCTGAACTTATTGATCAGCTCATCATGATACACTTTCCAATTTGGGAGATCTGAGCATTTTATGGTACTAACCAGATTCTCAAGATATCATAAACCTTTAAATTGAAACCAATTTCAGTAGTAGAAAATAATTCATATCCAAATAGAAAATACAGCTACATTTCACAAAAAAGATTTCCTTGAAAAACTGAGCAAAGATCTGAAAGGTTTTTTGGCATCTAGAAAACTAAATTAGAGAAATTTTAAAGTATGATTTGAAAGAAAAGAGTTTTAAGGAACGGCTACACTTAAACTCTGGGAATTTAACTCTAACTAAGGTGTCACTGGCAGAGAAAGCTTATATGGAGACCTTTACTTGAAAATCTTCTCCATGTAAAGTATACAGAAGAAACCGATCCCATATCTCCAAGTTATATGTTTTGACTGGAGAAAAAGAGAAGGGATAAAGGAAGGAAAAAAGAAAATAAGAGTAAATTAATAGATCACTTTGTTATACAATTATCCTCAACAGTAAGAGAACTGGAATAGAGAAAAGTCAGGTTTATTATGTCTACATTTTTTTTCCATTTATTTTTATTAGTTGGAGGATAATTACTTTACATACATGTTTTTTAATGTCAAAAATTACAAAACAAATTAAATTACAAAAATAACCAAGGTAATTTCCTATAGTGCAAAGAAACAAAAGTCAAGTTGGGTTCATTAAAACATAAAAGAGCAAATGCATAAAATCTAGACTTGTAAAGAGGAACCAGTTTTTGAGTTTAAACCGTAATAAATTCAAGACCTAAAATTCTAAATCATAGAAGAAATACACAACAGTTGAGTTTAATATATGAATACTAGATTAAAAGCCATGATTACAAGTACTTTGACAATCACAATTACACAACAATATGCTCAATTAAGTTACAGCTATAAAATGCCATTTCCTCAGGGACAGTTGGCTAACTCCATCAGAGACGGGACTGAGACTTACTTTGTATAACACTGAGTCCAAAGAGGTGACAGTCCTTTAGCCTGAGTAGGTCACACACCTGGACCAGTAACTGGTGACACAGAATTTTGACCTACGGGAAAAAAAGACAAAAATAAAACTAACACAACTTAATTCAGCCAAGTCCAAACAGTGAGCCACAATCAGGCAATGTTAATGCATCCTAAATATACGCTGAAGGGACAAGCTGACACTAGCAAAACAACAGTTGGTTTATGGAAATCACTTTAATCTACAGCTGTTTCAGTAATGATGATCACAATACAAATTTCTACAACACGGTAATAAAGTACCAGTGCAATCTTGTACGAGACTCACAAATCTGAGGACACATGGACAAGGTGTACTCTATAGCCATGGTGCACGATAAATATGTATTTCAGAAGGAAACCAAAATAATCTAATGATCAAAATAATTATCAAAATTATTGATTTGGCAAGTATTTTTACAAGGAAAGTTTTCATCATAGTGGTTTAAACAAAATGCTCATATACCACACAATGAGTGAATACCTAGCTTTTATTTACTTTAATCAATCACTTTCATTGCAATCTTTTAAGTACTAAACCAGGTTCTTTTCTGAGTCCTAGTATAATAATAAAATCATGTTAATTTGGAACATGGAACATAGAACAGGTTAAGTTATTCTGAAAAGTCACATGCTGAAAGATAAAACAGTCTTTAAAAGACGCAGTTTTGTTGACTTTTCAAATACTGAATGAAGTCTTTTGGGGGACACATAATTCTAATGAGTCTGCCTTGTTGAACTCAGAACCACTAAAGCTTATCGGCATTGGGATTGACATTAAGAGACCATATAAATCAATTTCTTCATTTGATAGACATATAAAAGAAAACCCAGAGAGCCTGAAGTCATGTAGTTAGTATTATCAGAGACAGTAATTCAGAACTTTGCTCATTTGTGTATTATAATATTTTTGTATGTAAATATTATTAAAATATGTGCAACATGACAGTTCATTCTAGCTACATATATTATGTGTGGCATTTCCCCTCATATTTGTACTAGTAACTTGCAACTTCTTTCTTCAATAATCATGCCAGTTACAGTTTTAATGATTACAAATACTAAATTAGTTAACTTTGAATTAATGATTTTTTTATCATACTTTAATATATAACTTAGATTCAGAAAATAAAACATGTTGAGATCTCTTAATAATTGAAGGTCAAGCAATTCAGAATGCTGACAATGTCAACTGGAGTAAGAAAGATAGGTTTATGGCTCTTTTCCATATTCACTATTAATGTGAATAGTGAATTCACATTGGCTCAGCAGTAAAGAAACCTTCTGCAAAGCAGGAGATACAAGTTCGATCCCTGGGTTGGGAAGATCCCGTGGGGGAGGGCATGGCAACCCACTCCAGTGTTCTTGCCAGGGTAATCCCATGGGCAGAACAGCCTGGTGGGCTGCAGTCCATAGGATTGCGAAGAGTCAGACATACTCAGGGACTGAGAACATATGCAATCTGAAGCACCTTATCCACTAGGAAGTGCAGAAGTATTTATGTAAGGCCAAATAGCACCACTTCAGCTGTTTAGAAGTAACAGGAATTCCATGGAGCTGGGACGGTATCTTATTTTATACTCAGAATATACAGCAGGCATTCAGTAAATGTCTGATGAATGAAAGCCAAGGATCTGATTTCCTGTGGGTTCCTCACCTTCCTTCTGGTCCATGACTACAAACTATACTACTCTGGCCCACTGTGCAGATCATTTAATACTGTGCCACTCAAGAATTTGTATCAATACAAATTGATTGTACTGAGGGGATACATTTGCCAAAAGGAAATCAGTGTCACCTTCATTCACTAAAAAGACTTTGGATTTGAGTTCTGTATTACTGAAACTACACTTTATAAATAAGCTTAAATAAAGAAAATGATACAGTTATGGGAAAAGTATTTAAGGTTAAATAAAACTGAACTATATACTACAAATTTGAGACTTAAAGAAGTCTAGGACTTTAATCTTTAGCTTTGACTGTATTTTAAAATATCATATACAAAGTACTTTGGATAAAATATGATTAAAAAGTTAAAAGAAAAATTCCAAATCACACGCTGTATACAAAATAAACTATGTTGTACCTTTGTATAACTGTTGTTCAAATAATCTGTGCATTTCTTCCATACCTCCTATATAATTATTATTGTTCCACTAGTTTTAAATCAAGTATCTGTCTCCCTCATTGTAGACAGACGCTTTACTGTCTCAGCCACCAGGGAAGTCCTTGGCTAACAACTATCAAGGAAATACAATGTTCTTGTTTAAAAAACTGCAAGTAAGTAAGGCTGTGGCTCTGAAGTCTAACTTACTGTGAAAACAATTTTGAGTTTTTTACATTTGCATATTATGAGTCTTGAAGGCTACATTTTAGCTGACTGAAAATTTTCAAGTTCTTTAATCTTCAGGAGCAATAGGAACTTTAAAAGGTGCCATAGAATATGAGGCATTAGGGATAAGAATGAAAGCATTATCTAAAAATAGACTTTGTATGGAACTTTTTAATAAAAACAGCATCTAATTCTTAATGTCAATGGCCTGTTGAACAAGAATGCCTAAAATATGCTACAGAAAAAGAATTGTTCACTCTCGTCTCAGTGAAGAGACATGATCTCTTAGCCACAATTTATATCACTGAAAAATTTTGTGACTCCTACATTAACATAATTTTATTTCTAAAAATTTCCAACTTTCCATATTTAATATTTATCTGATGATTAAAATTATTTAGAACAATCCCTATTTGTTTAATTCATGGAAAATTAAAAATGATCAAAACTACATTTACCCTATATAGAAAGGCAATATTCTATCCATTATACTTCTCAGGGAATAAATTTTCTTTGTTTACAAAGTGTTTAGAAATGATTTTTAAAAAGGAGACCATTAATGAAATAGTTTTTGTTACAGTTAATTTGTTCTACCACAACTCTACAAACATCACTCCTATTTTCTGAAGACAAAAATGATACTTTGTAGAAAATGACAGGCCTCTGGCAGCCCTGAGTTGGCTCTGTAGCAGTGAGGGGACCCCAAGCTACTTAACCCAGTTCCTCCTCCTCCCTCCTCTGGTCCAGCAGCTTGCTTGCTAATGAGGAGTCTGGACACAGCAGGGCTGTCCACAGACGCTGGAATAAGAACAGGTCTACATGGTGTTCAGAAGTTGAGTTTCATTAATAGAGTGAGCATACAGCTCAAAGAAATGAAAACAAGTGCCACTCCATTAAGTGCTCACTCACTGAGGCCAGACACAGCAGTAAGTATGGATGCATGCTATGTCTTTATATCCTCACAATGTCCCTGTGAGGAGAGCAGATTATTTTCACTTTATAGAAGAAGGAACCAAAGCAAAGAACTAATTTGTCCAAGGTTGCAGATGTGAAGTAGGGATTTCAACATAGGTCCCTGTGTCCCACACTAGACTTATTACATCAGCACCTCCAAGGAGTGAAGTCCAATAGTTTGAGTATTTATCAAGCTCTCCAGGTAATTTTTTAGACATCAAGTTGTAAAATCACTGATCTATAGGAACAAATGAACTGCCTGTCAGTCTATTCTCTGTAACTATCTTCCTCAACTAAGATTTCAGTATAAATTAATTTCTTAGAAAATTATAGCCAGCTCCTAGTATTCCTCATGAAATAACATTAGTCTTCCTTCTAACTTACCTGAGGTCAGTAATGTCTTGTTCCATATACTGTATGTGTGTACACACACATGAACACATTTATACATATTTGGCCAGGTGAAAAGGTAGAAATGGAACTGAGAGAAGTTTCTTAAGTGCTTATACTATATGTTTATGTATATTTTAAGATTTTAGTTGATACCTTCTCTATATAACTGTTAAAAGAACACAAACAGCATATTCATGTATACATGTAAATTATATTTTAATATATTCTGACAGTGCCCATACTGAAAAAGAGAGATAATGTTGCCAATTTTAACTAGGTTTTAAAAACCAAATGCTGGAATAATAAGTTTTATCACTTCACATCCAAAACAACTTTGGGTAATCTGAGTATAAAAGAGCTAAATCAACAGAAATTCTGCCTAAGAGACTGATAAAATTCACTCAATAGGCAGGTTTGATACTCAGACAATTCCTTTAGGCAAAAACAAGGCTACATTAGTAAATCAAGAAACTGTGGTGACTGACAGAATGAAACCAAAATAATTATGATAAGCAGGATCTTTTCCTTTAAATTTTTAATGGAGCTATTAAATGTCATATAGCTTCAGTATAACATTTAGAAATACTCTTTTTATATGGCAATTGGGTTAAAAATACAGTAGCAAGAAGAACTAATTCAAGGCATGAACTAAGGGAATTTTTTCCTTAATTCCAACAGAATACAAAGAAAGAACATGAAAGTTAACAATAGGGAGGGGTTGACAAATGCTAGGCATGACTGTGATCACAGAAAACTGTGCAGCAGTCTCTACCAAAGCTCAACACATGCATACATCGTGATTCACAATCCACTTCCAGGTATAAGCCCAGACATGTATATACACGTGTGTGTGCTCAGTCGCTAAGTCATGGTCAACTCTTTTACAACTCCACGGACAGTAGCCCGCGAGGCTCCCCCGTCTATGGGCTTTTCCAGGCAAGAATACTGGAGTGGGTTGCCATTTCCTCCCCCAGGGTTTCCTCCTGACCCAGGGGTTGAACCCGTGTCTCCTATGGCTCCTGCACTGGCAGGCTGATTCTTTTACCACTGAGCCACCTGGGAAGCCCATATACATATGTGTATATACATAAAATCTTCATAACTGTTTTATATTTGTAATACCTCCAAAACTTAAAATAACCCAATACCCATCAATAAAAGCTGGAGAAGAAATTAGGCATACTCATACAATGAAATATAATAATGAAAAAAAGAATTACTGTCACATGCAATAGCATGGATAACTTTCACAGGCCAAATATTGAGTATATAAAATATAGGCAGATATTAAAGTGAGCACACCACATTAATTTTAGCTGCATGAAATTCAGAAATAAGAAAATTACCCTACTGTGATAGAAGTGGAAATAGATACTATCTTTTGGTAGAGATTATTGATTAGGAGGGATTACAAAAGATCTTTCTGGGGCACTAGAAATCTACTATATCTCAAGCTGAATGATGGTTACTTGGATGTACACACTGGGAAAAAGTCAGAGCTGCACATTTAATATTCCTATACTTTGCTGTAAGTAAATTATAACTCAACTTTAAAAGTAAAAACAAAAAAGTATTATATTCTTCAATGTCCAGGTTAACTAAGAGTTAACTCCAGCTCATGAACCATAAGCAAGTTTAGTGAGCAAATACACAGCCTATTCTTGAAATTGGCTAGACTTAGGCTACAGCCTACTATCAAAACAATGATCAAGATGCATGTTACAAAGTTAGCAATTATGTATTACCATTTCATGTGTGTAGGCGACAACTCAAAAGTATTTAAAAAGCAAACTCAGATATCCATAAAATTATATTTCAATAAAAGATTTTTAAAAAGCAAAGTGTTTATTTTTCTATATATAATATAGTAATAGATATTCTCTAATTTTACCAGACGAGAGAATGCTAAAGACAGCTGAACTTAAGCTATCATTCAAATTTATACCTGTGTAGACAGCCTTAATACCCCAATTCTCCGGCATTATTAACGGTATCATTCTGTGAGGATCTCATCATTAGCCAAGTCACAATCTGAATGTGGTCACTGGTGGGAACATCATCATTTAAACATTTCTAAAGTAGGATCTACTCACGTTTATGATGATGTTCAGAGATTCATCATTAGGAAGGAAAATACACACACTCCGGCGGTCTTGCATGACTCTGTTGTTATGGAAGTTCAATTTGTTCATTGTGTTGTGGGCTCTCTAGTGGTCAGGGCGGGGCTCCGAGTCCTCGGCAATTTTTCTGGTTCCGAGCACTCCAAGGCCAAACTCTGCTCCTCATCACACTCCCTACAGGAGAAGCATCGTGATATTCGACTACGTGGGTTTCATAGCTGTAAAAAAAAGAAGTCCAAAAAGAAGGAGGTTGTGAATGAAGATGGCAAGACTGGTGAATGGACAGATGGGGAGAGGAGCCACAGCACGTCTCACAGTGAGGCCCGCCTCGTCTAATCACTGAGAATGCATGGGCATGTACTCTGTACTTTGCCCACTACCAAGTGTTTTAAAACTTACATTCACAGTCATGACTTTAACATAAAGCCAATGAGTGTCTCTACATTCAAGGTGGTACTGTATACTGCAGGGCTTTCAAAAGCACAGCCTGCCTTTGAGAAGTTTCTAGTCTCATACAGAAGGGTCCTGGAATAAACGAACAAAACGACAAAGCAGCAATAACAACACAATTCTCAATCCCTCTCCTATTTTTCTTCCATTACAATCAAACTCAAATAAATGTCTTGGATCTTACATTATATTCCTTCTTCAACCACTGTGGTCTGGTTTCCATTTCCTTCTTCTAACCAGCATGACTTTACCACAGGAAGCCAGTGATCTCAAGACCATGAGGAGAAACCATAGCATTCACTCTGATTGACCTCAGTATGTACAACACTTACTGAGGCTGTTAAGTCCTCCTTACAACCTTTTTCTCCCTGAGTTTCTACAATGCTGCCCTCTCTTCTCATTCTCTAACCTGGAGATGCAAACTTTATTTTTCTGTTATTTCACCAACCAGTTAACACACAGAAATAACATGATTGTATATAATAAATATTTGTATTTATTTTATATGGTGAATTTTGGATACTTCTCGTATCTAATCAGTTTATTAAACCATGTCATTTTACTTTTTAAATTCTCTCAGATATTCAGTGTAAACAATATTGCTTGCAAGTTATAAAGACTTTATCACCAATTTTCAATAACCACACTTTTTATTTCTGTCTCATGTCTCACTGCATTGGCAAGACTTTAAGAATAATTTTAAAACACTGGTGGATATTTTCTACTTTTAATGAATGTGTCTAGTGTTTCATATATTATTCCTAATACAACACTATTCAACTAAGGTATGTTAAGACAACCTGCCTGTCAAACGAGTAGTGATCATTTGTATTGTTCCTTTACAGCTACATTTGTAGGATATGTAGGAATTTCCAGGAATATGGATTAGTTTTATCTAGCAGAAAGCATAACCATATAGTTTTAATAGAAGAGCTATATCACTGCTCATATAAATCAAAGCATAAATGAGGCAGAATCTTGGCTTATTTGTTTAATGTGCAACGTCCATCTGTTATCAGCAGGAAGACAGGAGAGAATATACTCTTAGATGGCACCATAAGTAAATGTAAACTAGTATTTCTTTTTAAAGTATAAATAAAACACCATCCACCAGGGAGTTACTCAAAGCTAAGTAAAAACATGTACAGTATTTCCTTAGGAAGGAGACCAAAAGCCCTATAGGAGTATTCTACATTTCTTAAAGCATAATGGCAATTGTTTCACATTAGGCTGTAGCCAGTACATCACCCTATAGGGTCACCAGAGGAAAGTGCTACAGTTCTCTCCAGTATGGGATGGCTAGAATGGTTGGCCTATGTGTTCTATGAACACAAACTAACTGCACTTCAAATCCAACCATTCAGCTGTAGAATGCACACTTTATTTATTTATTTATTTTTATTTACTTTTTTTTTTTTACGCTAGGTCTTCCTTGT